TAATTTCTGTGCAGAGCCAGAAGTAACCACCTGAGCACGTTGGGTGTGGCCCAAAAAAAAATTTAAAAAAAAAGCAGTGTAATACAGACAATTACAAAACACAAGTACCCATACTGTCTACTTACTTATTCCTTATTACTTAAGTTTGTTTCCTACCAGAAACAGTGTAGTATCCAGAAAAGGTTTCTGCTCTCTTGGTTGGAAATACAAATAGATCGTGCTGTGTACACTGCTTCTGAGCAAAGATTCTCTCTGCACTTGTGTAATTGGGAAACTTCTAGTTCAGAGTCTCCAGCCTTTGTTAATTCTTATTATTTGTCAGATGGTAGAAGAGATGACTTACACCTCCTACCCAAGGGGTAAGAGAGATAGTACAGCAGGTAAGGCGCTTGCCTTGAGCATGGCTGACCCCCAATCCCTGACCTTCCATATGGCTTCATTAGCATCACCAGTAGTGGTCCCTGAGCACAGAGCTGGGAGTAAGCCCTGAGTACAGCCAGTTATGGCACCTGCCCCCACCTCACCCCCTGCAAAGAAAAGCAACAGAAAAATGTATGTCCTTATAGGAGCATAAAGAGCTTCTTAAATTCTAAGTAAAATGCAGTATTTCTTCCTTTTTCCTTCTGAATGTCCTTGGCACATGGTTGAAAGGTTCCATGGAACGTCCCTCTTTAAGTCAGTTGATCAGTGGATTGGATGCTATGGCCATGCTGTGTCTTACCCAGTGGCACAATGCTGCCTTTTAAAATGAAGTTAGTTCCTGGAATTGCCTCTGCTGATTTCAGGTACCCTGGTACTGAGCTGGACCCAATGCGTATTTGTTCAGTGACTCATGAGACCCACTGTGCTAGGTGTAGGCTCTCTCTCTCCGGCTTCCTGAATGAACCCCGTGGGTGCGCGCCCAACTCGAGTCCACCCTCCACTTCACTGGCATGGCCTGGACTTTTGACTAACTGGCTACAAACTGGAGGTTCCAGGGCCCCCTCCGCAGATTTCAGATGCCATCCACAAAGCCTGGTCGTTACTGTGCTCCTCGCCCACCGCTGTCAACTGAAGGTTCCCATGGCTCACTGCTTGGTTTTGTTTGTTTGCAGGGGTGGGCAGTGGGGTCAGTGCGGGGAGCAGGAAACCCACCCAGCGTCAGCACTCCGCTCCCTCCCTGGCCCTCTCAACCCTGGGTCTTGAGTGATGTACTAGACTCATCCAACTTGCTCCTACTTTCTTTGCCCAGCAAGGTGTTTGGGGACAGGATGGGATGGCAGGGCAACCCCAACAGTTCTCAGGGGGTGCTCCTGTCTCCTTCAGAGACTGGGGGCACTGCGGTGCCGGGGACCGAACTCGGATCATTCCTGGGCATTGCATGGGCCCTTGGCCACTGTGTAGAGTCTCTCACCCCAGTTTACTTGTTTTCTAAGGCTGCAAGTGAACACCCAGGTGGGGAGAAACAGGAAGAGAAACAGGAAAGACGGAGGGATGGCAGGTGGGGCGGGCTCCTCATCTGTGCCCTCTCCAGGGGTGAAGTCGCCCCAAAACTCCACATGTTCACCTGTCTGGAAGCTCCCTAGCCCTGTTCCTTCTGGGTTTCTGTGAAGGCTCCTGGGAACTCGTTAGCAGTTACTGGTAGAACTCAGCCCCAAGCCCCCACTCTTCAGCAGGTTCCCAAAGCCACCTCCATTGACTTAACACAGCACTTTGGAAAGTGCAAGGGTTTGGGGGAACTGCATGCCAAGAACTGTGGGTAAAGAGCCTGTATATATGAAAAATAGATGCCATTCAAATGACTGAAATATAACTTCTTGTACATCACAGTATCTCACTTTCTGATCTCATAATAAGTTTCATTAGATGTATAGTCTTCTTAATCTACAGATTTAGGGTTGTGGGTTTTTTTTGTGGAAGATGGGCAGTGGCTGAAGTCACTCCTGGCAGGGCCAGCCAGGGTTGGCAGCATACAAGGCAATCACCTTACCCAATGCCATACTGTCTCTGATCCTAATTCTTTTTTTAAAAAAACCGACTTCTAGAAATGAACTTTTGAGTGCAGACCCTGAAGTGAACCCTCTGTACCAGGAGGTGTTTATCCCCCCTCCCCCATTACAGTAGTTGTGGTGGGTGTGAAGTAGTGTTCCTTCATAGTTTAATTTGCACTTCCCTGATGATTACCTGGAGGAGGGTGGTGTTGGGTTATACCCAGTTGTGCTCAGGGCTCATTCTTGGCTCTGTACTCAGGTCTTACTCCTGGCGGTGCTCAGGGTTATGTGTATGCCAAGGCAAGTGCCTCAATCCCTGTACCGTCTCTTGGGCCCTAAGTCTGTAGTGAGATAAGTGATTCGTATTTTTTTTCCCATCTGGCTTGATTCTCCACTTTTCCCATCTTCCCTTCTCTTTGCTGTTGCGGTGACGGGGGTCCTAGTTCATTGTGGTGCTCGTAGTTTCATCCTGCTGGGCACTGTGCTCTCTCTCTGCTGCTGGTGATCACGGGTTAACACTGCCGTGACCACGTATGTGCATGAACAGTCAAATGTACAGTCACAGCGCTGCCCTTATATGCCGAACTGAAGTCCATGGACAAGCATTGTACCATTCATCTATCCCAGTACCTCTTTCTATTCCAGTTTGTTTTGGGGTCACTCCTGGTGGCATTCAGAGGCCTTGTGGACCGTAAGCAGTGCTGGGAAATTAAACTAGAGTGACTGCCTGCAAGACGGCACCTTGACCCTGTACTGTCTCCCCACCACCCTCTTGATGTTACTATTTAAAGAACAAATCTTTACCTTTGATAAATTCAGTTCGCTGATTTATCGGGGGATGAGGCTTGGCCCACACCCGGCAGTATTCGTGGCAGTGCTCAGGAGCTGCTCCTGGGGAGCTCAGAGGTCAGAGACTTTTATGTCAGACCTCAGAAATCATTGCTTAACCCAAAGTTAGAGAAACACTTTTTCTTCTAAGGGGCTAAGGCAATAGCACAGTGGGTAGGATGTTTGCCTTGCACATGGCCGACCCGGGGTCGATACCCAGCATCCCATATGGTCCCCTGAACACCGCCAGGGGTAATTCCTGAGTGCAGAGCCAGGAGTAACCCCTGTGCACTGCTGGGTGTGACCCAAAAAGCAAAATAAATAAATAAAATGTTTTTATTTTTACTCTTATTTGGGCCCAGGGAGGGGGTGGTTATACCCAACAGTGTTCAGGGCTTGCTCCCAGCTCTGTGCTCGGGGCACCTTGTGGTGCTAAAGGTCAGAACCAGACCCCCTGCATGCAAAGCACAGCACAGCCCTGTGAACTCACTTTCAGTGCTCACATTTCAGGCTTGCCCCAGGTTGAGTCACTCCTTGCCTAAGTTCTGAGGAATACTCCAGTTTCATCCTTTTGCAAATGGTTATCTCTTTGTGCCAGTACTACTTGCTACAAAAATGATCTTTTGATATTGCCTTTGTTGGAATTTGTCTTTGTCACAAAGTAATGTCTTCCTAATATTGGAAATAATGTATCTATTTGATCTTTAATTTGGCTTCTTATTTATTTATTTTTGATACTTGATAGAATGGAGGGGTTTTTTGTTAGGTTTTTATTTGGGGGGGGGGGGGGGAGGTCACACCCAGGGCTTACTCCTGGCTCTGCACTCAAGAATTACTCCTGGTGTTGCTCGGGGGACCATAAGGGATGCTGGGAATCGAACGTGGGTCGGCAGCATGCAAGGCAAAAGCCCTACCTGCTGTGCTATTGCTCCAGCCCCTGGAGGATGTTTTTTGATCAACAGATACAAGAGAAAATTCTTTAGATATTAATCCCATTTGTGAGTGGATAGATTTTGTCAAAGCTTTGAGACCTTTTTTTTTTTTGATTGCAGAATCATCACCTAGAGATTTTTTTTTTTTCCATACAATCAGTCCATTAATGAAACCACTTTGGATTCTGTAGCATTAATCCTGGTGCAAGATGCTGGTGGTTTGAACTAGGAAATAGCTGTGGATGTAGAAAGAGTCTGGATTTATTGTGTCACATCGCTGACAGGATTTTGAATGGATTATGTATGGTGAAAGAATCAAATCAAGCACGATCTCAGGTTTTGGTCCTGAAAAACTGGAAGGATGAGTTGGTGTTAAAGATGGGAGAAACAAGTAGGGCTCTGTTTGGGGAGGAGATGAGAAAAATTAGGGTCCCTGTCTTAATTAGGTGATACTTAAGATGCTTGTTTGTCCAATAGAGATGTTGGGACATGAGTCAACCCCCTCCACCTCCTAGAATATAACATCTTGTCACGCTTCCCTTCTTGTGTTTTAGATCACTTGAAGCTCTCAAAAAGCAGATAGTAGTTATGGACAGTACTATACTAGATTTCTTAGGAAAATGTTGTAATACACAGAATTTTGTGAGCTTCTTCACAGTCATCTCAGATTAAATTGTCTGGGGCTGGAGAGAAGACTTAGGGGCCGAGGCACGCCTTGCACACAGTTGACCCTGCTTCAATCCCCAGTACCACTGCTACATGTGGCCCAGAGCCAAAACAAAATAAGTAAAAATTTTAAAAGCCTGTATTTGTATATATGTTAAAAGGTGTTTCCAAGAGCCTGAACAGCATTTTAAAGGACTGAGCACATGCCTGTATGTGAGAGTCTTTAGTGTAACTACCAAGCCCTGAGCCTGGAGTTACCCCCCTTAGCACAGTACGTGTGATCTTTTCTTTTCTTCTTGGCCACACCTAGTATGCTCAGGAGTTACCCCGTGCTCTGTACTCAGGTATTACTCCTGCGGGTGTTCAGGGAACTGAGTGGTATGCTGGGAGTCAAACTCATTTCAGCCGTTGTATCTCTCTGGCCCCAGCAGGTGCGATTCTTACAAAATGAGAAAAGGGCCAGTGGGATATTCCAGCAATTAGGGCACTTGCCTTGAAATGTCATTAAATGTGTATATCATTTCCCCATGGTTCCTAAAGATCAATATACTCAGATTTCAGCTCTAAGGCATTAAGTCTGCCTGCTTCCTCTTCTCTCCCCTAGATATCATTGACCCTGCCATCCTGCGACCAGGCCGCTTGGACAAGACTCTCTTTGTGGGGTTGCCTTCCCCCGCAGCTCGTCTTGCTATCTTAAAAACAATCACAAAAGTGAGTAAAGAAAGTTTCTTTTTGTTGTGTTTCTCTCATGTTCAGTCTGAGTGGTAGTAATGTAGGGTGCCTGGTCACTATCTTCTGCAGCCTTAAATCTTTGCTCTGGCGGGGGGAGGCCGAGGAGGTGCTCCAAGGTCGAGCTCCCGCCTCGGGTGCCTGAGTCCTGCCTGTGATCCTCATATCTTGCCCGATGTAGGTTTTCACGACTGGCCAAGCCTTACCAGCAGTGACCGAGATCCACTGGGGATTGCTATTGGGGGAATTCTTTCCCCCACAAGAAGTTCAGGGGTGCTATACCTGGCACCTACAGGAAGTCCAGGAATGTATGTAGCTCAGCAGTTAGAGCTCGTGCCTTGCACATCCCGGCACAAAAAAATAATCAAACTCATCTGCCCCATCCCTTACCTCCCAAAGAGGAGGGTGAGCTACCTTTGGTACTAAACTACCTCACTACCTCTTCTATATTTTGGGGGCTGTCATACTCGTCGATGCTCAGGGCTTACTCCTGGCTCTGCATTCAGGAATCACTCCTGGCTGCGCTCAGTACCATATGGGATGCCAGGGACCAAACCCAGATAGGCCACGTGCATGGCAAATGCCCTACGCCCTGTGTTGTCACTCCAGCCCCAGGAAACTCCCGCTTCTCAGTAATTTGCTTAAAGAAGAAGGGTGCTCAGAGCTGCATGCTCTCCCAAGGTGCCTCTCCCGCGGTCTCTCCTCTCGGTACTTTGATGGTCACTTGAACTGGATAGTCATGTGCTGGCCTCGTTTTTCTCCCTGGTAGTGCAGGGGTGGGAGCGGGACCAGACAGGCCTCCTGCTTCTGCTCAGATCCCTTGCTGGTCTGCCCAGTCCTTTCTTGAACTGTCCTTGGACACCAGCCTCAGAGGCTGCTTCTTTCCATGCTGAAATATTAGTAGAGTATTATGCGATTGTCAACTCACTCTTTCCCCAGTGCCCCTGCCACTACACGGATTTTTCTTTCTTTAGCAGTCACTGTCCAGTTCTCTTTTTCTGGGGTTGGTGTTTTTTTTTTGTTTTGTTTTGTTTTTTGTTTTTTTTGAGGGGCATGTTGTTTTGTTTTGAAAATTGAAGATAGGTGGTAGTTAGGTGTTTCGGGTGCATGTTAGGCATGCACTGACCAGGTTTGGCTTCCGACACGAGGACGGGCTTCTGGACATTGCTGGGTGCAGCCTAGAGGTCCCTGAGTGCTGCTGGGGTGGTCCTGGTCCCCCTGGCACCTCAGGGCCTGGACAGCTTCACATGCTGGGCCCTTGTGCTGAACTGATGACAGAGAGACGTCTGTGGGCTCATATGGGGTTCCCAGGCCCCTTGCGCACCACTTGGGAGCCACCCACCCACCACAATAAAGGAATCTGAAAGAAAAAAGACAGGAAAGAAAGTGGAAAGAAAGTTGTTCACTCACATTTCAAGAGGTTGTCCTCTTTCATTTGGTTGCTTCACATTTTTCTCTGTTTATTTGCCATTAAAAATTTTTTTTTCTCTTTTGATAAAACATTCTGTGATCCTGTTTTACCAGACCATCCTAACTTTAGACTACATGTAACAATATTCTTAACTGTCCCCCCCCCCCCAAAGGAGGGACAGTAGATCGTTTAACTTCCGGGGTTTATAAGGTCACAAGAAGGTAGCTTATGTAAAAGTGAAAATAAGGACAACAGAATTAAAGATATTTGGGCCAGAGAGATACAGGGGCTTAGGCACTGGCCTTGCATATGGCCAAACTTGGATCTATCCCCAACACCATAGATAGCGCCCCAAGTACTGGAGGTCAGGGTTGGTGTTCCTGAGTAGAGAGCCCAGAGGAAGCAAGAGCCACTGTTAGGTATGGCCTTAAAAAAAAAAAAGTACGATGGAGCTAAGGCAGTGTGCAGTTTGCTCCTGTGTGGCAGGAGCAAAGAAGGCATAGTGGACAGGGAAGTGCTCCCAGTCTTGCTCAATAGGACCTTGGATTAACAGCTGAGGGGGAAAGAGAAAGGAAGGTGAACTCTCATTTCAGCCGCTGTAACTGGACGCAGCATTTTCAAAAAGGACTTGGGGGAGAAGGAGTCACAGTTATTTAAGTTCCAGGGGTGCCTCAGCAGCAGCCCAGCCACAGCAACTGTGTGGTCGGGAGACTGGGAGAGTCCTCAGGCTGGGCTCGTTTTCTCTCTCATCAGCACAGTGCTGGTGGTCAGTCAGGAAAAGAAAACATTGTGCTTAGTTCAGTGCTGCTCACCAGGGAGGTTTTACCTCTGCTCCCACCCTCCACTCCGTACCCCAGGGCAGTGGTGGGGACCTGTGTATGCAGCACTGGGGCTGACGCTGCCCATAGTAGAACAGCCCCACAACCAGAATCCCCTAAGCCAGAATGTCACTGATGCCCAAGTGAAGGGCCTCCGCTGCACTCAAGCTCTTACTTCCTCAGATCCAGCCAGCTTGCATCTTGGCATCTCTTTCCTTCCCTGTCTCTGACCTGAGGAACTGTAACTAATGCGATCGTGTGTGTGTGTGTGTGTGTGTGTGTGTGTGTGTGTGTGTGTGTGTCTTTCCTGAGGAACTGTAACTAATGTGATCGTGTGTGTGTGTGTGTGTGTGTGTGTGTGTGTGTCTGACCTGAGGAACTGTAACTAATGTGATCAAGTGTGTATGTGTGTGCGTGTGTGTGTGTACGTACACACCTGGGCACAAACACAATCTCAGATTTGTCCTAAAGATTTCTTAAAGAGTCATGAAGACACCATAACACTTTCACACTTGCCGTGGGCTGTTCCAGATTACAGTGATAATCTTGGGCACACATGTCCAACACAAGGGTTGTGGGGGTGGGTCCCCACCTGGCAGGTCTGGTTCCACGCAGGTGACTAAGCCAGGCCTCCAAACATCCTGAGCAGAGAGCCAAGAGTCAGCAAGAGCCACTGTTAGGTATGACTTAGAAACAAAAAAAATATACTATGTATGAATCACTTCTTGGCCTTTTGGCTAAGATCAAATATAAATACTCTGTGTGGCAGTCCGACTGTGAAGCAGCTTTATACTGTCTTTTATCTTGAATGCACATGACACAGTGTTAGCCCCTCCGGTACAGAGTAAGTGTTCAAAAATCCCTAACTTCAAAGACGAAACAAATAGGAAAATAAAATAATACAGAATTAACCTAAGTGTATTAACCTAATGCAGTGTTAACCTAAATGAATTCTCTTTTTAAAAAAAGAGCTAAATCTCTTTTTGGTTGTGTCCGTTGTGGGGCAGTTAAGGCACATAGTCCCTAGCTATAAGAACAGTGCTCTCAGGGGCTAGAGCTATCGTACAGCAGGTAAGGCACTTGCCTTGCACACAGCCAACCTGTGTTCAATCCCCCGGACTACATGTGGTCCCCCAGGCACCAAAAGGAGTGATCCCTGAACACAGCCTGACGTGGCCCCCACACCACCCCACCAAAAAAGTATGCTCTCTTATTTCTCTCTCTCCTTTCTCCAGCAATCGCTGGGATGGGAGAGAGCACTCAGTGGGCTGGGCCACATGCCCTGCATGTAGGAGGGTCAGTCCCCTCCCTACGTGTTCCCTAAGCATGGCCACAGGTGGCCCAGCATCCCACACACCCACACCCACGGCAGCATGTCAGCCGGGCCGTGGTAGTTTGGTTTTTCTTTTCACTTAGACAGTATTTCCATTGTGCCCAAGAGGTCTTGTTTCTTGTTTTGATCCATCCTGGTCCCACAATGGCCTTATCTGATGTCCGTGTTCCATGACATTGCTTATATTCAGCAGGAGAACACAGCAGGGGAACACAGCTGCCTGGCTGTGGGTGTCATGCCATCCCGGTGCCAGCTGATGGCATCAGGCCAGACCCTGGAGGGCAAGGTGTGCTCTCTGTTCCCATGGTTTATATTCCTGGACTTTATATAATGTGTGTTTTTATATATCTCTGCATATATGTATGTTGGGAATTTTGTGTTTTGAAAGGACAGTTTTCTTCTGGCATAAAAGGCAGTTGAGCACTGAATGCCTGGAAGTCCCACATCAACGGCCCCATATGGTCAGAGCTGTGTGAAGGAGGGGCGCTTCCCTCAGGTGAGGCTGGGGCTGTGTCAACCCTGGTTCAAATCCTACGATCACTCCTGTGCACAGAGCCAGGAAAAGCACCACCAAGGGTAGCTCCAGACCCCAAAATAAGCAAACGAGCTTCTGATGAAAACAGGAAAGTAAATCAGTGGAGGTAATTCTGTGCACCGAGTGAAATATAACTAGGAGACTTCTGTACTGCATGTGATAGGGTCAAGTTGAATGGTTTCTTTTGCTTGTTTGTGGACCAAACCTTCACCCTACCCCCATGCTCAGGATTTTGTCCCTGCTCAGTGCTGAGGGCCTGTTCCTGGTGGAACTTGGGGGACCAAGCAGGGCCAGGGATGGCACCCAGGACTCGCACGTGCATGGCACATGTCCCAGTCCCTCTCTCTACTGCATCCAGACTCTCACTGGCTCTCATCGGGACCTTCAGTCGGCCTTGCGCTCCCACACCCCTCTGCCCTCCAGCGCTGAAGGAGCCACTTAGTGGACCTGCCTGTGTTATCTGGCTTTCCTGCCTCACTCAGGACCTGTGAGGTCGAAAGGTTCCCATTTCTCACTGTGATAAATCCTAGCTACATATTCACCATCACAGCTCAAAGCTGCTCCCCCTCCCACATAGAGCAAGATTTTGTCTGCTTATCCAGATAGAAGACAAGATTTTTTTTGATGTAGGAGTACTGCTATTTATTCAGCCACTGATTAGCTGATTGAATTGTGCATGAACTCCACCTTACTTTTTTTTTTTTCATTTTTTTATAATTTTATTTATTGAATCACCGTGAGAGCAGTTACAAAGCTTTCGGGTCTAAGTCTCGGTCATACAATGAAACACCCGTACCTTCACCAGTGCCCATTCTCCACCCCCAACAACTCCAGTATACCCCCATCCCACACCTTCCCCCTGCCTGTGGGGCAGATGATTTCCACATTACTCTCTCTCTACTTTGATTACATTCAATATTTTGACACCTAACCCACTATTATTATTTGAGATTTTACCCCAACACTCAGATCTGCTGAAAAGGCAACAGTAGACAGTTTGTTTTCTATTGCTGGTTATGAATAACATATGATGTCGCGTGGCTGCAGTAGTGGCTGAGCAGTTTTGAAATTCTGAAATTTTAACACTTAAATCTGGAGGGATTTCTGCCAAAACCTGCTGGGTTCCGAGATTTGCTCCTGAGTCTCTAGGATCATGGCCGTTAAGCAGCTTGATCAGGAGCTAGAAAGGCCGTTCATGGGCGATGACTTGGGGTCTCGTTGGGGTGGGGAGGACAGGACCAGCTCCACCCCCATCCTGTGAGGCCCACAATGTCTCGTCACTGCGGGCCCAAACCTGACTGTCCAATGGCCCCTGGAGGATGACGGCCACCGAGCTGCTAGGGGGAAGCAGGCGGAGGGACAACACCCTTTCCCCGCCCCTGGGGTGGCCCAGGGACAGTAACCTACTGCATGGTCCAGGCACATTTCTGCCAAAAGCCGTTGGGTTTTGAGATTTGTTTCTGAGTCTCTGGGATCATGGCCGTTAAACAGCTTGATCAGGAGCCAGAGAAGCCCGTTTGTGGGCGTTGACTTGGGGTCTCGTTGGGATGGGGAGGACAGGCCCGGCTCCACCCCCATCCCATGAGGCCCAACAGGGGAAGGCCCAAGTCTGACTGTCAATGGCCTCTGGAGGATGGCGGCCACCGAGCCGCCAAGGGTGAGCAGGCAGAGTGACAACCTCCCTTCCCCCCTGGGCTGGCCCGGCAACAGTAACATACTCTGGGGTCTGGACGCATTTCTGCCAAAAGCCACTGGGTTTCGAGATTTGTTTCTGAGTCTCTGGGATTATGGCCATTAAGCAGCTTGATCAGGAACCAGAGAGTCCATTCGTGGGCGTTGACTTGGGGTCTCGTTGGGGTGGGGAGGACTGGACCGGCTCCCCCCCATCCCTTGAGGCCCTGCTTGCCTAGTCACTGTAGGCCCAAACCTGACTGTCCAGTGGCCTCGAGGATGGCGGCCTCTGGGCCGCCAGGGGGAACAGGCCAAGGCAAGAAACCTATTCCCACCTGGGTTGGCCCAGCACCGGTAACCTACTGCAGGGACCGGACGCATTTCTGCCAAAAGTCGCTGGGTTTCGAGATTTGTTTCTGAGTCTCTGGGATCATGTCCATTTAGCAGTTCAATCAGGAACCACAGAGGCCATTCCTCCAATTATGTAGCTGAGCCGGAGGTGGTTTGTGGGTGTGTCTCCCACATACCTAACTTTTGGCCGTTTACTTTGTTGGTAAACTTTGCCCCAAGTTTTTGGGGTCTGGCCAAAGGCACAGCAGCAATTTTGGGGTATCTGAAAGTCTGAAGGCGCCATCAGCAGCCTGCTGATGCACTTGCCTCACAGGTACAGATTGACCTGCTGGCAGCACCATACCCCCAAGATTTTTTAAATTACCAAACTAAGTTTATAATAAAGATTAAAGAAGCTTTCCGAAAGTCTGTCCAGATTTGATAAGGACTCAGATTTGTTTTTTACATTCCTGCTCCATTGTTAGTTCCACTTTCGAAATCTTTTTTATTGCCATCTTCAGGAAGGTGGACAGTTTCTGCGAGTAAAAGGTCCAGAGGAATAAAGAGAAGATTGTCATCAGGTACATTCATAGAGGGGAAGAACAACAATTGCCAAGGGCTGTGGAGGTGTGGAGGGGAGAGGTCAGGTACTGCCTGCAGCGGCTCAGCTGTCTTTCTCGGACGGGGCGGTGGAGTGAATGTACATTCATGCCACTAAACTGTACTTTTAGGAAGATTTCAGCCTGTTTCATAAATTGCTCTTGCCCAGTACAAGGGCGTGAGCTACTCCCGGAGCTGCCCTCCTGCTCCCTGCATTCCCAGGCTTAGCTGCTCTCCTGAATATATCAGGACAGTTCCAGCAAAAGGAGCCTGGAGCGACGCATCTGACTGCTTCTCTCACATGCAGCTCTGTGTGTGTGTGTGTGTGTGTGTGTGTGTGTGTGTGTGTGTGTTTAAAAATATGTTACGGTTTGGAAAGGAAGCGTACCTGTACCTTGACTCTATAGATGAACACTTGAATTTATCAGAGAACAGCAGCAAGCAGCTGCTCCGCTTGTGACAGTCTTGACGGTGTGCAGCTGGGAGGAAGTGAGAGGATGGACGCGGACCTGAGCGTGGGCCGGGTGCTGTGCTTGGCCAGGGCACCTGCGGGCCGATATTGACTCGCTTTGCGGCTCGCCTGTAACCCTGGCCACTGTTGATTCACTTTTCTTCCTCTGGGTGTTTCTTTTGAAACTGGTTCCTGATACGGTGTTTCTGAAAGGAAGGGCTGTGCAGTTGATATGTCACTTGTGAATAACAGCGAACAGGAGCCTGCCAGCGGTCTGTGTCTTGCATTTGAGATCACGGGAGGTGGGTCTGGGCCTCTGCTGTGTGTGCTGCCAACTTGTCGTCAGATGGTGCTGAAATGCCAAGCCTGTCCCGATCCTTGTCATTTCTGAGCCCCAGGACGGTTGGCGGCAACAACAGGCTGGGTGTATTTCAGATGCAGGGTTCGGAAAGAACACGTCAGGCACACTCAATGCCTCTTTTGCAGACCACAACACCCAAAAGGAGAGAGAGAACAAAAGGGAATGCCCTGCCACAGAGGCAGGGTGGGAGGGGGGATGGGGGGATATTATCCATGGTGGTGGAAAATGGGCACTGGTGGAGGGATGGGTATTTGATCACTGTATGACCGAAACCCAAGCACAAAGATTTGTAAATCTACAACTGTACCCCATGGTGCTTCACTAATTAAAAAAAAAAAAAAGAACACGTCAGGCACAAGGCCTTTCGTCTCATGCAGCTCCTTCCCCCTCGGCCACCTGGAGAGGGGCCTGCCAGAGCATGGCAACTTAGTGAGGGAGGTGAGGAGGCATCTTCTCGCCAAAGACACGGGGCTGGCCATCTTTATTCGGGAGGGGGGATTTTGTCTTTGCTGTCACTGCATGTAAATTCTTCCTAAATTGTTTAATTTTCCCAGGTTTTAGAATCTGCTCCTTAAATTGACTTCATTTCTCAAATTTGAAATTTTGTAACACTCTGACACTGATCTGGGAGTCAGTTCTATGAGTTAAGCAGCTGTTTACTTACCTAACACTCATTTGGGGGACTGGAGCGATAACACAGCAGGTAGGGCATTTGCCTTGCATGCGGCCAACCCCCAGGTTCGATTCCCAGCATCCCATATGGTTCCCCAAGCACCACCAGGAGTAATTCTGAGTGCAGAGCCAGGAGTAACCCCTGTGCATCACTGGGTGTGACCCAAAAAGAAAAGGAAAAAAAATTGGGGGGGGCCTGAGAGCAGTGGACTGTGTTTGATTCCTGGCAGTATATGGCGCTTTTTTCTGGGGGGAGAGGGATCACACCTGGCAGTGCTTGGGGCTTACTCCTGGCTCTGTTCAGAGATGACTGCTGGCAGACTTGGGGGGGACCATCTGGGGTGCTGGGGATCAGACTGGGTCAGCCGCATGCGAGGCAAGCCCTCGACCCGCTGGACTATCACTCTGGCCCCAACCATGTGACTCCAAGAGGGCCCAGGTGATCCCCAGCATGTCATCCTTGACCCTCTCACTGAACCCCGGTCCTGTTAGCCAAGAAACACCGGGAGTGGCCTCTGAGTGCTGCTTGGGAGACGCCCCTCCTCCACCCTCCCTCCCCCCACCCATAAAATTATTATGTCGGGATTGGGCTATAATGCAGTGATGGAGTACTTGACCTTTCCCATTATCTTTCATGTATTAGGTCTTGAATTTGATCCCTGGCACTACAAACATTTAAAAAAAATGATAATAAATCAAGCACCCACCTATTATATAGAATAGTGGTGGGTTTTGTTTTTGTTTTTGTTTTTTTTAGGCATACCCAGGAGTGGTGCTCTGTACTTACCCCTAGCTCCTTGCTCAAGGATCACTCTTGGTGGGGCTCAGAGCAACCATCTTTGCTTCAGAGGGTCAAACCAGGGCGTGTGCTTGGCCTAAATTTTTGTCTCTTTTTTTTTCCCCCCAGAATGGCACCAAACCCCCCCTGGATACTGATGTGAATTTGGAAGCAGTTGCTGGTGACCTCCGCTGTGATTGCTACTCGTAAGGATCTCGCCTCTCTGAGGCTCGCTTCCTCTTGTGGACATGGGGGTAGGGGGCCCGTGGAGTGCCTCCCACCTGCTCCAACCAGCCCTGGGCTGAGCCACCTGACACCACACTCAGCTAAGCAGCAATCATTTGCTGAGACCCCTCTGGGAGTTTCCCATAGCCCAGGTTCATCATCGGCCTTCCTCTCATGACCACTTTTCACCTGAGAAGTTCTTAAGCCCATTGTAGGTGTTCAGATCAGACACTGGTGAGGAATCTGAAAAGGTTATATAAGTGTGTGTATATATATATATATTTAACATATGTGTGTGTGTGTGTGTGTGTGTGTATACACACACATAATACACACATATGTAGAATATCTGGGGGGAGAGGGTTTTTTTGGGGGGGTCACACCTGACAATGCTCAGGAATTTCTCCTGGCTGTGTACGTGGGAGTTATCCCGGACGTATTTGGGACCATATGGGATACCGGAGATTGAACCTCGGTTGGCATCTGTCAGGCAAGCCCCGCTGTATACATAAATTTTTTTAAAACTTTGCAGCTTCCCATACATTCATTCCCACAACCCTATGTGGGGCCATGACCCACTATTTGGGAAGCTAGGGTGTAGCCCTGCAGTGCTCTGCGCGTCTCCCAGAAGAATCCCAGGTCGGGACTGTGGCCCGCCCTTCTCTGAGGAGCCAAGGAATTTATGTGACAACATACTTGTTTTGTGTTTTTGTTTGTAGGCCACACCCAGTGGTGCTCAGGGCTTCCTTCTATCTCCGTTCAGGGATCACAGGGATCACTCCTGGCAGGCCTTGGAGGAGCAGATGGGGTGCCAGGGATCAGACCTGGGTCAGCTGCTTGCAAGGCGTGTGCCCAGTCTGTGATTGGAACTTTTCCCCATGCTGACTCTTGAGTGTCAGATACCCTGACCATTGCAGCCTTTCACAAATTGTCTGCTGTTCTTCCACAATATTCAAGCAGATGTATTATTGTAGTTTGCCAGTGTAGACTGTTCAGGTGTTTTAGCAGTTAGGAAAGTTGGTAATGCCCTGTTCTCTAAGGCTCAGTGCGTTCCTCACTGCCTTTCTGCTGTCATCTACCCATCACCAAATACCCAACATTTGGTTAAAGCAGAAACCAAGTACTTCCACCTTCAAACCCTCACCTGTTTGTTGTCGTATGGCTTATTGTGTTAAATTCTTTTTTAAATTCACAAATCACAAATCATCCTGTTAATCGTCGATTGTCTCGAGCAGGCCCCAGTAACGACTCCTTCATCCTAGCCCTGAGATTATATTCAAGGCTCTTTAGGAGAATGAGACCCATCATTGTTACTGGTATTTGGCATATTTGGTACGCCACGGGGAGTTTGCCAGACTCTGCCCTGTGGGCAGGCTACATTCGGTAGCCTGCCAGTTTGTCCAAAGTAGGAATGAGATAACAAGATGTCATAATAGGATGTCGCGCAGCCGCAAATGCAGCCGCACAGTTCTGGGAGCTGGTTTTTATAGTCTCTGAGTCTTGGCCGTTGATGGGATTACACGGCACCAGGGGGCCAGTTGGTGGGTGTGACCCCCGCCTACTGGAATTTGGAGGATCTGGGTGGAGAATGCTCGGCCCAAATCCGAGTAGGCTTGGAGATCTCGGCCCCGGAACCCGCGTGACTTTGTCCCTCTGCCAGTACCTTCATGTGTGCGGAGAGTGATCTCAGCGTGGTGGTGGTTGGTCCTGGAGGTCTTTGGCTGCTGGAGCCCTGGTTGGGGCGGGGAGGAAAGCTCAACCCGCTCCCCTCCAAGGGGCCCCAGCGGCGAGGACAGTCAGGCGCGGGGGCAGGAGACTGCACTTTTTTAAATTAATTTGCCAAATTTCCCAGTTTGGGTACTGAGGCAGAGAAGAGATGCCCAATTCCATCTATCTCTGGTTTATTTTTGAGAACTTTATTTTTTCATTGTTGGTAAACTTTGTTCAGGTATTGGTACCACTAAGATACACTTGCACCTTCAATAATTTAGAGAGAGACCTCTTGGTTGAGATAACTGGAGGCTGGTGAAATGTCTCCAGTACATGTCCCAGATGTGATCCCAAGCTGTTGTCTGTGGGATGGGGTTTTCCACCCGAGAGTTAGATTCAGCAGTGTAAACTTATATATATACCCAATAAAGGGACCCCCCCACCCCCCGCTGCTGGGAATTCAGGCCCTCGGCCTGGCTGAACAGTGGCATGTCACCACCTTTGTTGTGTGTGAAGTGAGGGGTTTCCTAGAGGAACTGAGAGCGAGAGGCAAAGCACTCCCCTCATCTCTTCTGAGAAGAGGGCACGCCACAGCGCTGTGTCCCCTTTGCCCTCTGTGGGCACCTCGGGCAATGCGGCTCAGTCTTTTCTCCCTCCCCAGTGCTGAGGAATGTGCCATTCTGGGCGGTGATCATGGCTCCTTAAGGAGCAGATTAGAGTCTGGAATGTGACTGGATGTTGCCGACAGGTTGGGCCTCTGGAACTAGAAAAGACCCAGTGATGAGAGCACAGGGAGAGAGCATAGGGATTACTGTTGTGTATCCCCAGAGGCCCAGACACCATTTGGGGGGCCCAGTGGTCCCCAGCACGACGGCGTTGATGTCCTCAGCCCTCACGTTCTGAGCCATTGGCCCAGTTGGCCAAGTATTGCCAGGAGAGATCACCCCCCAGGGCTCCTGAGCGCTGCTTGGGAGACATATTCCTTTCCCACCCCCAACCATGACCCTTCCCCACCCCCAACCATGACCCTTCAAGCTCCAGCTCAGCTCCAGCAGCTGCCTGCAGCTGTCGGACTTCATGCTGCCTGCTTTATCCACTGCCCGGGAGGGAGCTGTTCCCTTCACCCTGGGGCCTGGAACTCAGGGACGCACAGAACTTAATGCCCTCTTCTCAGAAGGAATGAGGGGAGTGCTGTGCCTCTCGCTCTCAGAACTCAGTCAGGGCACAGAACTCAATTAGGAATGAGATTTGGCTCCTTTGGGTCACGGGATAGGGAAGCTAGTGGCCTCCACACAGATGCCAGGCTCTTTGTCTTTGTTAGAGAATTTAAGGATGAGATGGTGTTTATGTTATGTAGGGAGCAAAAGGGTTTATTCAGTACACACCCATGGCCCACGGAGACTGATGACTGCTGGGCGCGTGCGTGCGTGCATGCGTGCGTGTTTGTGTGTTCTCAGGATCAGGGGTCTCTTGATTCTTCTGGTAAACAAAAGAACTGTATGGCTGTTAGGTCTGGGCATTTCCATCCTTTCAGTAATTTTCTACAGTGGCAGCCTTTCTGGCTGTGCATGAGGGCCTCTATTTGATCCCAAAAAGGTGGGGGCGGGGGGGTAGGGGGGAATAAGTGGTTATCACAGTGAAGAGCTAATGTCCACAGACCCCAAAATTGGGATTTTTATCCCGAATGCAAACATTCTTAAGGAACTTTAGCGGAAGAATCCTGTTAAAGAAACAAAGTTGAGAAATACTGGTTAATCCCAATGTCTTTCCTTGACTCAGAGGCCAGCATATTATTACCTGGAATGATTAATTGAAGGCTTGCTAGTACTTGTCATATTTTAAATAATTTATGACGTGTACTTAGCTTGAGCTTGAATCAAAACCTTTGTGTTTTCCCCCTTTGAACTTGGATCCATAAATTACTTTTTTTATATATGCTTACTCAGATGTTAGATAATGTGTGAATGGACCATTTCGAGCTTCAGCATAGGCCTTCTGAACAAAGTATTGCTGTAAAATCATTTGTGTGTTTCTTCCTGCTGACTGGATCCTTTCAGTTTTTATGTATTGTTGGTATTTGTGTGGGAATCAGCATGGGAACATTGGTATTTGCATGAGAATATTTATGATTCTCCACATTATTTCCTCCACACTTCTAAAAGTATTTTAAATGAAGACTTAACACTCTTTCATACTGACCAGGAACAGTTCATTCCAACATTATTGGTCCGTTTCTTTCCCAGTTAATGTGACCGGGAGGGAAAACGCTATCCAGCTTCTTTGTGGGCTTTTGCAGTATCTAAGAGTAAATGCACCCTGCGTCTTCACAGGGGTGCAGACCTGTCGGCTTTGGTGCGGGAAGCGTCTCTCTGTGCCCTGAGACAAGAAATGGCCCAGCAGAAGAACAAAGATGAAAAAGGTACAGTGTCTCCAGAACTCCCCACTTCTAGTTTGTCACCCTGGATACCTCAAGCCATAGTTAAACTTGGAAAATGACTCTTTTCCAGCATGTGTTGTCTGTGGTATCATTTTTTTGTTTTGAGCCATCACCAGGCTATGCTCAGGGCTTACTCCTGGTTCTGTACTCAGGACTCACTCCTGGCGGTGCTCAGGATATACCATATGGGGTGCTTTTGCACAATCTCTCTGCCCCAGAATGTTTTCTGATGAGAAGACTTTGTTCAGAACCTGTTTGGAATGTTTTGTAACATGATCGACAAGTAGAATAATTGAAAAGTTCTTAATGCTTCTCTAACAAAGTATTGTACTTTTTCTTGTCATCATAAATATTTTTAATTCAACAACTGCATCCATTTACAGATTTCATTGTGATATTTGCCTCATAATCAATGTTGGAAAGCCATCTGCTTACCAAGGTGATGGCAGATGACCTTTCCTCCTAAAATGTTCTTAATTCAAGAACTTACAAATATGTATCATAGAGGCCCAAGAGAGATTACTGGATCTAAGGGGCTTGCAAAGCATGTGGCCTACCCCAATTCCATCCAAGCAGCATTGATCCCTCAGGAATCTCTGGTTTGGAGGCCCAGAAATTTTTTTTTTTTATTTTGAAAAAATGTGGGGTGCTGGAGAGAGCTAGCACAGCAGGTAAGGCGTTTGCCTTGCATGCGGCTGACCTGGGTTCGATTCCCAGCATCCCATATGGTCCCCTGAGCGCCGCCAGGAGTAACCCCTGTGCATCGCCAGGTGTGACCCAAAAAGCAAAACAGAAAAAAAAAGTCTGAAAAAATGTGGGGCTGGAGCAATACCACAGCAGGTAGGGCATTTGCCTTGCATGAGGCTGACCTGGGTTCAATTCCCAGCATTCCATATGGTCCCCGAGCACCACCAGGGGTAATTCCTGAGTGCAGAGCCAGTAGTAACTCCTGTGCATCACCGGGTGTGACTCAAAACCAAAAAAAAAAAAAGTTTTAAAAACTGTAGAAAAAAAAATCTTCCTGGGGCCAGAGAGCATAGACGGTCAGGCTTGTGTTTGCTCTGGCCGAAACCCTGGTTCAGATCCCCGGCACCACATTTGCTCCCCTGAGGATCACTGGGATCACTCCTGAGCACGACTGAGTGTGGCCTAAAAATCAATCGAAAATGCAATAATTTTTTATATTCTTAATCTTCCCTTTCAAAATATCAAATCCACATATGTTATGATTTCATTGTTTGGGACCATCTCAGCAGCTTTGCACAATTCTTGAATTTTGACGATACCTTTGAATTTACTGGTTAGGGTTGTGTAGGCGAGAGAGAGAGAGAATTCATTTGTGAACTGTATTCCATCCCTGCCTTTGCTTTGCTTGGTTGCTGAGACAAATGCTTGGTCAGTTCAAGTTTATGGCTATCTTCATTGCAGACTTACAGAATTCCTTTCTTCAAAAAGACCCATCTTGGGGCTGGAGCAATAGCACAGCGGGTAGGGCATTTGCCTTGTATGCGGCTGGGCTGAATGGGGTTTGATTCCCAGCATCCCATATGGTCTCCCGAGCACTGCCAGGAGGATCCCCTGAGCATCGCTGGGTGTGACCCAAAAAGAAAAAACAAAACAAAAGACCCATCTTGGGGCTGCATAAATAAAACAGCAGGCAAGGTGCCGCCTTGCATGCAGCCAATCAGGATTCTCTCTCTGGCACTCCATGTGGCCCCCTGAACTCTGTCAGGAGTGATCCCTGAGCACAAAACCAGGAGTAAACCCTGAGCACCATTGGGTGTGGCTGAAAAATAATTAAAGAGAGAGAGAGAGAGAGAGAGAGAGAGAGACACCCACCTTGTCTTTCAAAGCTAGGCTTTGGCCTGAAGTTCAAGTTTGATGCTGATCTCCCTTTATTCATGTATTTTTTAAGGGAGTCACCTTTGATAACCAAGAATCATAAAGGCATTTTTTTTGGGGGGGGGTAATTTTTATTAGTGAAACACCATGAGGTACAGTTGTAGACTACAAATTTTTGTGCTTGGATTTCAATTATACAGTGATCAAATACCCATCCCTCCACCAGTGCCCACATTCCACCACCATGGGTCCCATTCCCCCCACCCCACCCCGTCTCTATGGCAGGGCATTCCCTTTTGTTCTCTCTCTCCTTTTGGGTGTTGTGATTTGCAAAAGAGGCAATGAGTGGCAATCATGTTTGGTCTATAATCTACTTTCAGTATGCTTCTCCTATCCTGGGAGGATCCTCCCAACACCCGTTATTTGGTGCTCCCTTCTCTATCTGAGCTCCCTTTTCCCCTAGCGTGTGTGGCTGGCCTCCAAGCCATGGAGCAAACCTCCTGGTACTAATCTTGGCCACTCTTGGGTGTTAGTCTCCTATTTTGTTACTTTATGTTCCCCAGATGAATGCAATCATAAAGGTATGTTTTATCAGTTACAGCAGCATATGCGTAGCTTAAGTTTGTCACCACAGGCATCTCCATTATGAAGTCCTTGGTTGTTTTTGTTGTTTAGTTTTAAGAGTCAGTTCTCTGAGCCTCTTTTATTGTAAATTGTTTTAAATTCCCTTTGGAACTAGGTATGATGTAATTAGCAAATTCAGAACACCATGAAAAAACTTAATGCTATAATACCCCTGAACATTACAGCTGATGGCTATCTTGGGATCTGTTGTTGTCACTAAAGATTCATAGGCCTTGGGGCTGGAGCCAAAGTTCAGCAAGGAGGGCGCTTGCCTTGTATGTTCGATACCCAGCACCCCATATGGTCCCTCAAGTACCACCAGAAGTAAGCCCTGAGCACTGCTGGTTGTGTCCCCGAAACAAACAAAAATACTTACACAAAAAATTAAAAAAAAAAAAAGATTTGCAGGCCACCTCTATTCATGTATTGGATTCTACTAAAAATTCAAAGAGTCATTATTTGTTTTGTATGTTGGTTTGTTTTCTGGGGAATCCTACTAAACAATTCTGTTTGAATGAATGTTACAGACATATGTAACAAATTCTGCCATCCCCGCTTTGCAGCAGTTTGTCATTCTAGCTGTATTTTCACTGTGTTAACGGGTGCCTTGATGCCAAACTTCCATCGCACTTGTTTGGCTCCACTTTTCCCGTTCCCATCATAGTTGTCATTGTCATCAGTCATCTCAGGAGGAGAGTCTGCACATACCTAGTCGTGTTGCCTTCACCCCTTTTGTGAGTTGCGACAGTCTGGGGCGGCACTGGCGGCCGAGCCCTCAGGTCAGGTGTGGTGTGGGGCTTTGGCCTCCCGGCCACTGCCCCCTGGTCGCAGCTCCACTTCTGTTTTGTGGACAGGGGTGCCAGGCATCAAACCCATATTTATCCACACATTGTTTTTGGTGGTTTTTTTTTTCTTTTTGAGTCACCCCGGCGTTGCACAGGGGTTACTCCTGGCTCTGAACCCGGGTCGGCGGCGTGCAAGCCAAACGCCCTACCCGCTGTGCTATTGCTCTGGCCCAAACACACATTATATTTTTTAAGTAAGAGATTTTTCTCTTATAAAACACTTGATTGGGGCTGGAGCAATAGTACAGTGTGTTGGGCATTTTTGCTTCCACCCAGCCAACCCAGGTTTGATCCCCAGCATCCCATAGGGTCCCCCGAGTATCACCAGGAGCGATTCCTGAGTGCAGAGCCAGGAGTAACCCCTGAGCATCGCTGGGTGTCACCCCAAAAGTCGAAAAGAACACTTGATCAAGTTTTCTATATGAAAAATTGAAAGAAGTTGTTGTTACCAGGTAAAGCTTCAAGCAAATATTTGTATTACATTTTAACATTTAGCTTTTGATGCTCCCACCAAGTATGGCCCCGGGATCTGGCACCCAGGGGCCTGAGCTACACCTCCAACCCAAATTACCAGTATTAACAGGACCACCCCACCCCGCCCACAATTTAGCTATCTGATTTCATTTCCTTATCTAGTGGCAGAATCTTATCATTAGAATCCCCCTGATTTTGTCTGTATATAATAACTTAAGGTAGTGAAACTTGTAACATGTATGTGCTTTTGCTATGAAGGTAAAGGTAAAGGCCCTCCCGTTGATCATCGATTTGCTCGAGCGGGCCCAGTAACGTCTCCATTGGAGACTTTGTTGTTACTGTGTCTGGCATGAAATTCGGTTTTATTCCTAGTTTAAGATTCTTGGATTAGGTGGTCAGAGTGATAATATGGCAGGTAGACTGCTTGCCTTGCATGCCGCTGACTCAGGGTCGATCCCTGGCACTCCATGTGGTTTCCCTGAGCACAGAGCCAGGAGCAAGCCCTGAGCACAGCCTCAAACCAAACAATTTAAAAAATAGATAAAATTCTTGAGCATGTTCTGGCTTGTCATTAACATCTGATGAGTACAGGCCAGGGGATCATACAGCAGTCAGGAACCCTAGTTGGTCCCCCAGGCACCACCAAGCATAGTCTTAGATGCCACCCTAGGGCCTGGTGGTGGCACCCAAAGTATTAGCAGGGTCACCCCAGTACCACACGGTGCCTGTCACTGGACCCCCCCAACCCAGATAACTGAGTGCTGCTACTGGGATTGGTCCCTGGATATCACCCCCCACACACACAGCCTCCAGCCTTTAGAAAAATGGGGAGATTTTGGTCAAAGGGGACAGACAGCTTCCAGCTCTAAGGTAAGAAATTCTGGGGATCTAATGTGCACTGTTAATTTATAACCCTAAATTATATCATTGAAAGCTGTTGAGAGAACTTTGTTAAATGTTACCACCACACACACCCACACAGAGATAATCATGAAAGCTCAAGCTACTCACTGCCTAGCTGTGGTAGTTATTTCATAGCATATACATGGTGCAAAATCATTACATTGTCTGCCTTAAACAGGTGTCACTGATACCTCAGTAAACTGAGATTGATCACACCTAGTGGTGCTCAGGGCTTTCTCCTGGCTCTGTACTTAGGATCATTCCTAGCAGGACTTGGGACCACATGGGGTGCCAGGAGGAAAACTGAGATTTAAGTAATAAAACATCATGAACTCTCTCATTAAAGGCAAAGAACCTTAAAATATTTGTCCCAGTATAATCTTGTTGGGGCCGAGGAAATTGTGCTAAAATGTAGATCATAAGCTGAAAATATTTATGCAAAATTAAATATGGTTAGGTGGATGCCAGAGGGGTTCTTAATGGACTGGAGAGCAGTCTTTGATTGTAGGAGGCTTGGGATCAATCCCTAATGCCACGTGTTCCCTGCACTGCCACCAGTGATCCCCAGCCCCTCAACAGCACCAGGTGTGATTTTCCCCCTTCCTGCCAAAGGGAATTGGGGTATATATAAATTGAATCAAAATAGAACATCTAAAAACATTTTCATGGGAAGAATATATTTGGTTTGAAATACTTTCTGGAAAAAGAAGAGAGCCAGTGTTTCCCTGAAAGCTTGAAGGTCTCTCAAGGAAAACTAAGTTATAAATCTCAGACTGTACTGAGGTGTGTATGTTTATGCACTTGCTCCCCAGGTGAACTCAAGATTAACCAGAAGCACTTTGAAGAAGCTTTCAAGAAAGTGAAGTCATCAATATCAAAAAAGGTAAGATGTGCTCTTGCAGAGAGAAGAGGCTGGAATGGAGACTCGTATGGCGGGTAGGGTGTTTGTTCTGCACACGGACAACCTGTTTCTATCCTGGCATCCCATGTGGTCCCCTGAGTACGGCCAGGAATGGTCCCTGAGAGTGGAACGAGGAGTAATGCTTGAGCACCACTGCGTGTTACCAAAAAAATAAAATTAAAATATTAATATTAAAATTTAAAAATGTAGGGGCTGGAGCGATAGCACAGCGGGTAGGGCATTTGCCTTGCACGTAGCCAACCCAGGTTCGATTCCCAGCATCCCATGTGGTCCCCTGAGCACTGCCAGGAGTGATTTTCTGAGTGCAGAACCAGGAGGAACCCCGGAGCATCGCCGGGTGTGACCCAAAAAAGTAGGAAAAAAATAATAAAATTTAAATATTTAAATATTGCATGTATGGGTAGAAACTTAGAGGCATTGATAACAGGGTGCACAGAAGACTCGGGACCAGATCTTGATGTCCACCAGCAGTTAAGGAGCAAGATGATGAAGCCCAAGCCCAGGACCGCTCCTGGCCGTACTCAGGTGATCACATGGCAGCTACAGCTGAGAGGTCCAGTGGGCCTGAACCATGCCCAGAGGTCACAGTTGAGAGATGGAGCCTGACAGTGGCTATGGTAGTCCAGCAGGCCTGGGCAGTGATAAAGATCATGCTGGGCATCCCCAGTAATACCTATCACCACCATCCTGCCTCTGCCGCTCTGGATGAGTGCGTTTTTCTGCATGTGTCACCACTGCATTCCCAGGGCTCCATGTGCCCCGGGGACAGTGTTGTGGGACAATGTTGCTTGTGTTCAGCCAGGCCTTGGCGTCTTATCAAAAGGGGCCAACTGCCCAGACTCACAGGAATTCCCGTGTTCTACACTTGGGTGCCACATTTGAGCAGGCTCCGTGATAACTGGGGGATCATATTTGCCCAGTGGCTGGTCTGTGCCATGGTCAAATAGATCTGCTGGGACGACTTGGGGACAGTTTGGCACCAAGTTCCAAAGTCCTGGGTGCAGAGGTCATAGTCTCGGGGGGGCAGGGCCTACAGATTACAAGTGCCCTGACACCCCGAGCACCAGAACTGGAGACCTGGAGAGGTTCCAGGTTGCCAACGCTGGGCGTCCTCAGACTGTCCTGCTGTGTCTCGCCCGCAGGTCTGAGTGGGATGGGGTGATCTCTGGAGGGAATAACAAAGGGCAGTGGAGCGTGACCTCAGGGGTGCCCCTTGCTGACAGGTGTGTTGTTGGGATCACATTTCCAGGTCAGTCAGAGCCTCTTCTGGCTAAGGCCTGGTTCCCCTGCAGCCGCCGCCACCTGTGGCACTTCTCAGTGCCCCTCTGGAATTTTCTCTCCACGCCCCATCAAGAGCTTCCCAGGGCCCAGGCATGAGTCTGCCATTTGCCCAAGTTTTTGGCGTAAAAGTCAGTAGATAAGTAGCATTTGTTGACAAAGAAACAGTCTAGTCAGAGACACCTTGCCCCTGCATCAAATAGGATTGAATTAAAAAAAAAAAAAAATGACTTGAGAAACAAGGAACATGCCCTAAGTGTTTCTTCTAGGTTAGTGTACAAAAGTGGAAGGACCTCTGACACTTAGAATGTAGCTGTGGCCGCAGCAGCTTCCTGCCATACCCCGCCTGCCTGACAGAAGTTTATGGCTGGCCTGCCAAGTGGTGGCGAGGATGAGAAGCAACAGGGCGCTCACATATCACAACCAGTACAGACACACTGGAAAATTCTCTGGTCGTGTCTTACACGCGTTAATGCCGTGCATGATGCCTCTGCTTTTGCTTCCCATTGCCGGTGGTTTAGAAGTCTTCTTTATGAGGGGGCCAGAGTGATAGCGCAGTGGATACGGGTTCGATTCCTGGCACTCTGTATGGTGTCCTGAGCCCCACTGGGAGAGATTCCTGAGTGCAGAGCCAGGAGTAAGCCCTGAGCTCCACCAGGTGGGACCCAAAACCCAAAACAATTTTTTTTCCTTCATGATCTGGATGATAGAAACAAGACCACCCTGTGCTGGTTTTCAGTCAGCATGAGAGTCTGAGCAGGCGTCGCCTGGTAGAGGGGCAAACGTGTGGGTCCAAGAAACAGTTTGCCAGGGTTAAATCAGTTTCCCAGTACTGTCGTGACAGCGACCCAGGCAGCGGGGGCTTCTGGTGTTCAGGTGGTAGAAGTCGGGCGCTCGCTGCTGGCGCAGTTGGTGTCTCCCGCAGCCTCTCCTCACGGACGGCTGCCTCCACGCTCACTCTTCCCCTGTGCGAGTCTGTGTCTTCTGTATTGGACTAGAGTCGCCCTCGTTACCTCATTTTAATATTTTCGCCTTTTGTAATGCCTAATGTAACAACTTCAACTCTCACATCATGTATGCTCACATCAGCACAGGGGAGGAGGGCACCCTTCAGCCTGTAACACACTGACCCGCGCCATACCTGTTTCCTGTCTGCTAGGACCGAGCGATGTATGAAGCTCTGCAGCAGTCCCTTAGCTGACAACCTACCTGGGAGCTTCAGTTCTCAAACGGATGCAGCCAAGCTGCAGCTCAAGAGGTTCCCATCAGGCCAGAGCGTGTCAGATAACCTACCTCCTCTGTAAGAAAAGGAAAAGAACATCTTTCAAAACTCCTGATAAAATGATGCTGTCAAAGTAAAATTTTTATTTTGAAACAGTCTCTCCTGTTCTGTTCTAAGTTACAGTTAAAATAACTTTTTTCTCCTGAGCCACATGAGTGAATTGAATTGCACAGTGCCACGTAAACACACACACACTCACTCACTCTGTGCTTCAATGTATATTTCCTACAAACCATGGTATTCTACATACCCAACCTCCAAAATCAGGAAGTAAGCACTGACACATGGTTCCCATCCAGTCAACAGGTCCATTCACGTTTCCTCAGTTGTCCCAACAGTTTCCTTCAGGGGGCAGGAGTGATAGCACAGAAGGGCAGGGTGCATGACCCAGGTTCAGTCCCTGGTACCACATATGGTTCCCCAAGCATTGCCAGGAGTGATCCCTGAATGTAGAGCCACTAGTGAGCCTTGAGCATCAACAGGGGTGACCCCAAAATAAACCATGTCTTTCATAGCAGAAGGGATTTTTTTTTTTAAGAAGGGATCCTTTTTTTCTAAAAAGCTGTTGTTCAGATCCCAATCCCCAGCACTTCACAGACCTCTGAGCAAAGCCAAGAGTCTCCCCAACACCAGCTGGGAGTAATTCCTGATGTGAGCACCTGTGGCTGTGGCCTAAAATCCAGACTGGAGCATGTGCTTTGCAAGCAGGGGCCTAAGTTTGAGCCCAGCACTGCATGTTTTCCTAAGTACTAAGCCAGGCAGGAGTAACCCCTGAACACTGCCAGGTGCAGCTCCAAAGTCAAACAGGAAAAGCCCACACAAATAAATTTGAGATATGGGCCAAAAGGTCCTAACTAGTTACTAAATACAATAGAGTTGATTCTATCTGATATCAGCCAGATCAAATTAGAAGCACAGCCTAATAATGTATGAGAAGGATATGGAAAAAGGCAAAGATCCTGGTGATAACAGTGTTAGGTCTAAGATCCCAACTTACAGTAATTTAGCCCAGCCTAAACATGAAGTATGGAATTCCTAAGGCATGAGGCAGACTGCAGTATTCATCAGCTTTGCAGGCAGAAAAAGGTGACTAATGCCACAGTGATGATTACCATCACGTCTCCAGAAAGAAAGGACGGACTGTACTATGCACAGTCTCTGAACAGGACACTACTAGGTGTTCCCTTTGTGCCTCCAGATGAATTCTGGGTAGGCAGGTGGCATTCCTGCTAACAGGCTGGCTAGAGTTCTCTGCAGCTTTTCAACTTTCTGTTGCTAAAAATTTTTTAAAGAGCCAGAGCAATAGTACAGAGTGGGGAGGGTGGTTGCCGTCCATGTGGCCAAGCTGGGTTCGATTCCCAACATCCCATATGGTCCCCCGAACAATGCTAGGAGTAATTCCTGAATGAAGAGCGAGGAGTAACCCCTGTGTATCAGTGGGTGTGACCCAAAAAAGAAAAAAAATGTAAAGAATAAGCTTGGGGTACAGGCCGGGGCTCAGCGGGGCCCAGGGTCTGGTGTGGGTGGGAGTGCGGGACCCCCCGGCCATGGCAGACAAGGAGCTGGAGGCGCTGAGGAAGCAGTGGATGGCTGAGCTGCAGCCAAGCACAGGGGTCCAGGAGATGCAGCCCAGCAGGAAGCGAAGCACAGGGAAGCAGAAATGAGAAACAATATGTTAGCCCAAGTTCTGGATCAGTCAGCCTGGGCCTAGTGAAGTAATTTAGCACTTCTTAAAGCCCAAAAAATCTAAAGCTGTAGAGAATTACCTCAACAGATGTCAAGATACGAACAGCTCAGCCAGAAGTTTTCATAACAAGGTTTAATAGAAATACTTGAAAAAGTCAACAAGCAGAAAAGAAAACAACAGTTAAATTCAACAGAAGAAAAGTAATGAATGGACTCTGGTGAAGATGATGACAAGTAATTGAACTTAAAATATTTAGAGACGGACCTTAATGCAGCAATTTGAGGACAGATAATACTTGGCAGAAGTCCTGATCTAATTAAATGTTTACTTTGTTTACTGTGTATATGCCTTTAAAAAATAATAAACTTGTTATGGAAAACAAAAACAATTTTGGCATAGTTGCCAAATAGAAAAAAAAAATAAAACCTTGTTCTGTGTTTGGAAACAATTGAGAATTCTATCCTCTTTTGCATTGTCAGCAATCTTAACTAAATACTTTGTATAGAGCACTCGTGACATCATAGGGACAGACTCAAAATTCAGAATTCATTGCTTCATTCAGGATATGTGGCTGAAGTGCTGGTTGTGCCCCAGTATTCATTCTTTCTGTCCTTTAGTAAGCAGGCCCTCATTCTGGCTAGCAAACAACAGAAGTGATGAGAGTAACTTTTGGTCCTCCTTGAAAGGCAAGACCCAGGGCCAGAGCGACCATACAGAGGGTAGGTCGTTTGTCTTGCATGTGCTAGTGATTCCAGCATCCCATATGGTCCCCCCAGCACCACCATGAGTAATTCCAGAGTGCAGAGCCAGGAGTAACTCCCGAGCACTGCAGACCCACTCCCCAAAATTTTTGTAATTTATTTTTAAGCGCCATGATGAACAGTACTTAATACTGTTCAGGAATAAATAGAAGGGTGCTCCGTCACAGCCACCACCCAAGCGTGTTAGTGCCCTCCAGCACACTCGAGGTCCCCACTCACCCCCACTTAGCAAACCCAGTTCTGTAGGCTGACTCTCCAGTCTGGGACCGCTTATTCCCTTCCTATGTTTATTCTCATATGAGAGTCACTCAGTGTTTGTCCTCAAACTCACTTGGCTCAGCAGTGACTTGTTGAAGCTGTTTATACTCATTTTTTTTTCTTTTCAAGACCTGCTTTGCATTTACCAACAGTTTTGTTTTCATTGTGTTTATTTACTATATATACATACATACACACACACACACACACACACACACACACACACACACACACACACAGTGAGATACACGGTTACAGACCTGTTCATGAAGGTGTTAGGACCAGGAGGGCTGGTCCACTGTTGGAAGCTTGCCACGTGTCAGGGGGTGAGTTCAGTTAGGATAGAGAAGGACCACTATGACAATGATAGTTTGGAATGATCACTCTGGACAAGAGCTGAGTAAATACTGAAAGGAGGAAAGAGATATACATGATGGCCTGTCAGTGTACTACTGTGGCCTCTGATCAGGCAGCACTTCGCCAAAGAGCTGCCCCAGAGCTGTGTAAAGGGGATGGAAGGGTGTGAGGAGAAGCATGCTGCAGACTAGGATAATGGGGCCGGAAACATTCTCTGGAGATTTTTGCTGAGTCCGAAAGACTGGGCAGGAAATGCAGGAAGTTCCAGATTAAGTGGCTGCTGCCTGGGACATTGCCCTCTCCATGTAGAACCTACACTGTTGATTCACCAGATGAGAGGAATCAGACTGGGACCAGGGCTGTAGCTCGTGGCTAGAGCTCTTGGCTTGTATGGAGGAGGTCCCGAGTTCTACCCTGACACCACACACAAAAAATGCAAACCATATCAGATCATAGGAATGGCCTGTAACTGAGTTCTCCCACTCATACATCTCCCACAGAAAAGCAGAGATGTGTTCACCAAAATCCACAATCAGCCAAAACTGGACACAAATATCCGTAAACAGCAAGCAGGATAAACCCATTATTAATTTAATTGTTGTTGTTTTGTTGTTGTTGTTATTATAATGGATTTTGGAACATACCCAGTGATGCTGAGGGAGTACTCCCGACTGCATTTGGAGATTACTCCTGCCAGACTTGAGGGACCATATGTGGTGCCGGGGATCAAACCTGGGTTGAACACAGGCAAGGCAAGTGCCCTACCTACTGTACGATTGCTCTGGCCCCCAAACCTGAACAAGCCAGGACAAGCCACAGGCTACCCTACAAGTGATTCTCACCAAATGTGAGGGAGAAAAGCCAGACCCACAATTACCCACTTAAGTTCCCTTAGGAAGGGGTGTGGGACTCCACTTACTGTCATTTAAAATTCAGAGGCGACCAGCATAAGGCCTGCAGTGGCTGGGAGCCAGGTGAAGGTCACTGCAGGAGAAGGTGAAGGTGCCTGCAAAGAGCGGATGTGGGCTGGCCTGCAGGGTGGGCCTGCTTCCACCTGGCCATGGTCACGTGAGGGTGTTGTCTGTGATGAGTCACGGGCTTCTGTTTATCTCTGCTCTCTTATCTATGAACATGTCCATTCCAGAAAGATTGTCCAAAGGTGCAAAGATTTACCTGAAAATCATTTATCTAATTTTATTTATACATTAATACCACTTAAAAACAATAGTTACAATGATGGAAACTGTATATAGGAGTATATATTATATATTTATATAATATAGGTCATAGAGAAAAATATATAAACAAATCTCGGAACCCAGCGACTTTTGGCAGAAATGTGTACGGTCCCTGCAGTAGGTTACCGGTGCTGAGTCACCCCAGGTGGGAATAGGTTTCATGCCTTGGCCTGTTAGGTATGTGGGAGACACACCCACAAACCACCTGTTCCCCCTGGCGGCCTGGTGGCCTGTTCCCCCTGGTGGCCCAGTGGCCCCCATCCTCCAGAGGCCACTTGTCAGTCAGGTTCGAGACACGTGGGGCCTCACAGGATGGGGGTGGAGCCAGCCCTTTCCTCCCCACACCAACAAGATCCTGAGTCACCACCAGTGAACGGCCTCTCTGACTCCTGATCAAGCTGCTTAACAGCCATCATCCCAGAGACTCTGGAACAAATCTCGGAACCCAGCAGGTTTTGGCAGAAATCCCTCCAGATTTCATTGTAAAAATTTCGGAATTTCAAAATCACATGGCCTCCACTGCAGCCGCACGACATCATGTTATTCATAACCAGCAATAGAAAACAAATTGTCTACTGTTGCCTTTTCAGCAGATCTGAATGTTGGGGTAAAATCCCAAATAATAATGGTGGGTCTGGTGGTTCTACCGTCTCCATTCCTGTTGCGTGCTAGTGTAGCCCAATGGCGTCTGTTCATTCTAGGAACATGAAGAGCCTCAAACTGATCGTTCAGGGTCTTGACGAAGAAGTATGATCATCTTGTAGGTGGGCGGCCACGCGGTCTTTTGACGTCCCATG